TGAGGTTTATTTATTTATTTTTTTAATATTTAGCATGTATAAACTTGGCTTAGTTTTTCTAATTTTCCCTTCTGTTGTTTACAAAGATGAAGTTTAATCAATGCCAATTGATATTATTCTCTGAATAATGGATGGCAACAGTCCCTGTTGACTTCTGCATTAGATTTAGTTGTAACAGGTCAGACCTTTGGACAGTTGCAATTGGATGACCCGGGACTTGTAACTGGAGCATCCTAAACAATTAGGGAATACTCAGCTCCATTTTCTGTTTTCCTGGGCAGGAACCAGGCTATCTTAATTGAATGTTAGTTCACTTACATAGCAATAATAAAAACAGATTTTCTAAGGCTAGTCTTCTATAATGTGTGGCTTCTTCTGTACTGATCAGTCAGAAGGATCTAAGCAGATCAAGGATGACATTGGTTACATTTAGATAATGTGATTTCAAAACATTACAACTATTTTAATTATATTATTCATGCATGTTGCCTACACATTGCTAGGCATATCTTAACATTGTAAATATTGAAGTTTTCTATTAATCGAAGTTTAAAAATTGTTTCCATAAAGACTTTGTTTTTTCCCCATTAGTAAAACTTACACCGCATCATGAGAAATAAAACTTTTTTTCTTTATTCTTGGATATAAAGATGTAGATATGTGGGGATTGCATATTTGCTATTTAATCGTAGCTTTTAAAATGATGCATTTATTTAATCATTTATATGAGTGTCAGAATAAAACAGGTAGAGACAAAACATTTAATATTCACATGCATGGGCACTTAACACCTCATTTAATTTACATATTTGAATAGGAGGATCCATTGGTGATATTTGTGTATTTACATTATCTCCTCATGGCCAGCTTTACCAGTATTCTATTTAACTCTGAAAATAGAATCATTAGTACAGTCAGTTCTCTTCAGATTAGCTACTAAAAGTTGGGGATGCCCAGAATCAATTCAGGAGAATGGTTACCTTGGAAATATTTTGCATTCAAAAACCTGGAATTGCAGGGTTTTCAGTAGAAACTGACCAAGGATGGATGTAACTAACATGAAGGGGGAGGGAAGGGAGTACAGCAAGTGTGAAATCTTTATGTCCAACAGCAATCAGAAATGTAGGCGGGAGTAGATACAGAGTTTCTTTCTTAGGGAAACCTCAGTGTCTGTTTTAAGGTTTCCCGCTGTGCCATGTTGGGGCCAGGCCATATGAACAACAGCTTCTTTTTTTTTCCGGTGCAGTCATCCAAGTGTAAGAGATGGCATGGGAACATGTGAAGCCCCTCAGAAACTACTATGAAGTTGTCTGAGTGATGTTGGTAATAAGTGCAGGCTGGAAGGGGAAAGCCAAGTCAGGTGCACTGGAGTTGATAAGGCGGCTTTCAACAGAGCTATGGGTTAGTAGTGCTTCAAGAGACTACCTAAGCATGTTAGACAGGTGTCCGAATGGCAGACCACTGGAAGCCAGGTTTCTCACTGTTGGAATGGGCATGGACAGAGAAGCAAGTGGACATTGAAATAGCATGTGTCAATATATATTAAATGATTATCTCATTGTATGTGGAGAGATGGATATTCATGGACATGCATGGAAATATTTACAAATACATGTGTACTATTGTGTTAGTACACACATGCATATCTCCCTGATCTGTCAGTTGAGGAAGAGATGTCTGGATCCACACATAAATAGAAGAGCTAAATCTCTACTGTTGAATAATTTTAAATGACGTCTGTGGACACTGCACCCTTATAGCTGGTCATCTCAACTGTCCCCTCATATGGTATGAACAGCATATGGTTATAATTCTCCAAAGAGCCGTGTGGAGGTGGGAGACAAGGGACCCTTATAATAGAAATAACAGGGGAGAGCAAACGTGAGGATTGAAGGCATGTTGTATGCAGCTTTGATTCAATGGAATGGAAATTATGTTTTATCCAGGTTTAACTCAATTTAATCACCCCATACATGGAATAATCCATTGGAAGAGCATTTTTAACATCTCTGCTCTGCTCTCCTTGACATTATCAAATTCTTTAAAAATAAGCAAAGTCTGAGAGGCTGTCACAATGCTGAGTGTTTGAGGACACCAGATGCCTGAATGTAACATGATGCCTTAGGTGGAATCTGCAAAGCAAAAGGAGACATTAGAAAAGCCAGGGAACAATCAACAAAACTTAAACTTTAGAAACTATTGATTTGTCAGTTAAACTTCTTTAATTGTAACACAAGTAGTGTATTAAAATAAGAAAATACTAGATAAAAATGGAAGCGGGTGACACAGCAAGTTTTGTTTTATTTTTATACTTTCTCAGTACATCTAAAAATATTCTACTATGAGAGTTTTTTTTAAAGATTTATTTATTTATTTATTTATTTATTTTGAAATGTGGATGTACAGAGAGGAGGAAGGACAGAGAGAAAGGTCTTCCGTCTGATGATTCACTCCCCAAGTGACCGCAACAGCTGGTACTGCGCTGGTACTGCCCCGATCCGAAACCGGGAGCCAGGAGCTCTTCCGGGTCTCCAATGTGGGTGCAGGGTCCCAAGGCTTTGGGCCATCCTCAATTGCTTTCCAAGGCCACAAGCAGGGAGCTGGATGGGAATTGGGGCCACTGGGATTAGAACCGTCTGCCATTTGGGATCCCGGGCTTGTTCAAGGAGAGAATTTTAACAACTTCACTATCTCGCCAGGCCCGGGAGATTTTACTTATTAAATGAAAGGGAGAAAGAGTGAAAGATTGCTTGATTCTTTGCTTTGCTCTCCAAATGCCTCTGGCAGCCAGGAGTGGACCAGTTGTAAGTCAGCAACTGGGATATCCATCTAATTCTCCTAAGGCAGGCAGAAAGAAAAGTGTCTAGGCTGCCATCCACTGGCTCTCAGATGCCTTAGCAAGAAGCTGCATCAGGAGTGGGAAGGCGACTTAATTCCAGTACCCTGATATGGAATGTGAGTCATTTCAAGTGGCAGCTTAAGTGCCACAATTTCTTCCTGAACAACTAGTTTTTCCTGACACTTTGGGGAGAGATTTGGATTTTTAAAAAGGAAGATGTGTTACAATTGGTGAATGATAAATACAGTACCTGCTCAGAGATGTCGTTCTGAACAAATGATGACAACTTCAGAAGACATATGCTAGTGCGTGAAAACAGGTATGAAATCAGGTTTAGAAAATGATTGAATCATTTCATGTCTGTTAAATAGATTGCTAATGGCAGGAAAAGGTTCCAGGTGTCATTCTCATAAAATAATAAAAAATTCTGACATTTCCCAGCTTTATATTAGAGATAATCTCATATTTATAGGTTTTTCAAAAGCTAGTTTAATGAACCACTCTGAAAAATAGTTGTCAATCTGATGACAAAATTTCCATGGAGACAAAAACTTCAAACCATTTATGCTGCAACTAATGAACTCTAAGGATATATTATATTGATTTTCAAGGCAGACTTACAGAAAGGATAGAGAAGATGAGAGAGTTCACAAGCCATGGATTGGCCGAGCTAAATGCAGGAGCCAGGTATTCCATCTGTGTTTCTCATGGGTGGAAGCGGCCAAAGCAACTGGGCACAGATGCTTTCCCAGTCATAACAATGAGGTGGATTGGAAGGGATGCCAGAGTTACACAATAATTTCACTTGCTGTGCTACAATGCTGGTACCAAAGCATGATTTTGATAGTGAAGATGACCTTTCTTGTTTGTTTGCTTATTTTTGTCTAATGCTATATTGATGTTTTATCGTCACGGGACAATTTATGTATTTCAGTAAGATAACAACATTAGGTCCAGCACCCACACAACATACCCATGGGAAATAAGCAGTGTCTTTTGTCATCCATATGGTTGGTTAACATTGAAAATGGTCTTTTTTCTTTCAAAACCTGTAGTGATAATCCGAGGACAACATGGGTAAGATAATTTCTGAGATGTTGTATCATACTTACCTAATGAAATCAGTGACCAAAAAGAAAAAAGACCAAGAAAGATTCAATGAATTACAAGAATTTTAGGGAATTTTAAAAACTTGTTAGTTCATAGGTGGGGATGAGTGCTAACCTGAGTTCTTCTTCTGCCATTTGTGAATAAAGCATACCTTAAACGCTCCTGTTCACTTTCTCACTTTACGTCATCCCTGCGTTGTATTCTGTAGCATCAGGGTGGCACTTCCCCACGAAGACTATTGAGTTTGTGAAGTGTATCATAGAGTGAAGACTAAACTTTCAAACATAATATTTTCAAATCCCCTAAATGCAAAAACTCAGGCCCTACGCGATAACCTAGAGGCTAGAGTTCCTGTCTTGAACGTGCCGGAATGCTTTATGGACACTGGTTCTATCCTGGCAGCCACACTGCCCATCCAGCTCCCTGCTTGTGGCCTGGGAAGGCAGTGGAGGATGGCCCAAAGTCTTGGGACCCTGCACCCACATGGAGACCCGGAAAAGACGCCGGGCGCCTGGCTTCGGTTTGGCTCAGCTCTGGCCGTGGTGGTCTGTGGTGGGTATTTCATATACTGGGTTATTTAATGTTATTCATTCTAATGAATAACTTGCTTCCTGAACATCATTCCACCTGTGAATAAACTTAATTTCCAGAGCAAACTATTCACGCATGCAACTTTTAATTAAAAAGAAAGATTACCTTTTAAAAAAGATAACTCTATGAAAGGCAACTTTTTAATTACTCCTTTTGAAATTACGTTCACAGTTGTAGACTTGGAGTTCAAACTGAACGATGGGGCTGAGGAAACACCGGAGAACCGGGGTTAATCCTATCACGGGTCGTTGTGGCTCATGTACAGGTGTTAGACTTACACATCCTCCATTCCCCCGGACCTGCAGGCGTTTCACTTTTTCTCTCCTTTATCTCTTCACAATTCCTGGGAGCGTCTCACGGATGGTTGTAAGCCATTTTTCCACAGGATCCACCTCACCATTTTTCTAGTTGCATTACTATTGATACTGTGCTTAATTGGTCGCCGTTTCTGTCTTTTCAGACGACACTCTGCGGTGCCGTAGCACATGGATTTCAGAACCGCCTGTGAGGAGGTAGGTGCCTGCTTTTCTGCTTTTCAAATCAAGAAAACAGTGGAGAATCAAGAAGTGACTGGCCTCAATCCCTAGGTGTGGAGCACTACCTTGGTGGAGAGTTGGCCTCTGGCTCATTCCATTTCCAGCTTACGTTCTCTTCCTATAAAGTTAAAAAATCAAAGTGTGCCTGGAAAAGTTTCAGATTTTATCTCTCTTTTCGAGTCCTGGGTGTTCTACTTCCAATACAGCAGTGGAACGAGCCTTAGCTTGAGTCTCTACACCCATGTGGAGGTTTGGGTGGGCTCTCCTGGTTCTTGGCTTCGGCATGGCCATTTTGAGAGTGAACCAGTGGTTGGAAAACTTCTCTCCTAGTTTCCCTGTAACTTTTTAAGGAGGAGGACAGAGCATGTTTAAGGAATTGAATTTTTCTTCTCCATCAACCACACACAATGAAATTTCAGGTGGTAGCATTATCAAAAGTATTGTTTTTTTCACATACATGATTAGAAATTAGAAAAAATCCAAGGTGCCATTCAGGGACAAAATTCCTTGCTTTTATGACTCCAGTGTTGTTTAAGGATTCAATATCAGTTAAGTATTAATACGTGGGTGGTGACTCAGATTCTCTGTGGAGTTGACATCACATTTTAGTGCAACTTTCAATGCTTCATTAATCTTTCAAGGACACTTAACGTTGTTCAGATATACAGTTCAATGATGTAAAAGCCCTAGAGAGCATATTCATTCTATCTCATCAAAAATATTAGCTTTTTTTTTTTTTACTAAATATGACCCCCCCCACATTGTTTTCTTCACTCTTTGCAAGAAATGCAAATGCTTGTCTTCAGGCAAAATATGAATACTCATGGGTTAGAGAAAAGTTTGCATTTGTTTAAAAGGTTTATCATATTACTGTGTGCAGTAACAAGTAACAACATTCTACAAATATTAAATTGACATAAAAAAATCAAAGGCTTGTTTTAATATTAGTGAAAATTATCTTTTTAGAAAAATGTCGTTTGTTTAATGTTATATTGATTTGTGAATAGTGATTCCTTTTTATTTTCCAAAGCAATTTGAGAATGTATTTTAGCAGGTTTGTTACACTGGGTGCAACTTTTTAAATGTCATTCAAAGGATTAATATTTTTATATTTCTGTATTTTTCAAAAATTCACATGATGATGCTTTAGGCATAATTCAGTGACATTTTCAAATTGTGTTATAGGGCTTTTTTCAGTTTAGAAATCTCATTTATTAACTAAGTTGATTTATTTAATATAGCACTTACAGGACACTTCAAAAAACGAAAGAAAATTTGTACTTTGGAAAGAAATATTAATATATTTTAAATGTTTGTACCAAAATAAGCACATTTGGTAAATTATATGTACACAAACTTTTTTTTTTACCTCCTGCCCTCTGTTGAGGTGGTCTCCTCCCATTGTGCATTCCCCCTACCGACACCATCCCAGATCCAGGGTCCCTGGAAGGAGGTAGCAATGTCACTTCCGCCCCAATTCCCTAGAGAGAACAGCATCAAGGAAGCCCAATCCTCCTGCTTACAAACTTAGTAAAATACAGTCATATGAGTTCACACATTTTAAATTGATTTAATATTTCAGAAGCTTAGTATTCTATTCTTATTAATATTTGATTCAATTCAGTGTGACTTAGTGTTAATTGCATACTCTTAATTATGCATGTAGTAAGTAGTCTAGTTCCATCAAAGTGTTGTCTTATGTTTTAAGCAGTCAAACCACCACTCATCAAAGTTGAATGGGTACTTGCTTTGATGAAAAGCACATAGAACACGTGAGGTTTTCATGACAATTGACATAATTTGCCTTGGTCATCAGAGTGTGATGTGAGATTTCTCAGAATGCTGTTTTGAAATAAATCTTTTGATGCATTGTTTTGAGGTATTCATCAGATTTTATTTAAGGTTCAGAAGCTCTCTTCTAAATAGTAACATCATTGTGCTCATCTTACTCTGTATGATCATCTTGGCGTTGTCCTGCCCTAAGCACCTTTGGATATTATTTTAAACTGTCCTTTGGACACAGTAGAATTGTACCTACCTGTGCCATCACAACATCCATGTGAAGTCCACATGTTGGCTGGATTGTAGGGTGTAGAACTGTGAGATGTTCTGAAGTTGATCAAATTTTGGAAGAGGAACAAAGATTTAGGCTGAAATTTGCATTCTTGGAATATCAAAGTGGACCGGAATCAGAAAGAGAATTGAGCTTGTTGCTTTGTACTTGAGGATATTGGGAGCCTTTTATGTGAAATTTTGGATGCTCTTTAATTAATTAGCCAAAAGTGGAACCAGATTGTATAACTTGGAGCTCCTAATTCTAAGTTTCAACCTCTTCCTCAGACACAACTCCTATTGTAAACTAGGTCACAGTCAAAAATATGTTAAATATACATTGCTTCTCTTCACTGATAAGGAAGAAAAATGTCCACGTTAAGGCAGCATGCTAGTATGGAATGTCCAGAAGTTTTTTCTTTGAGTAGGAGCTGGAGAAACTGTCCTAAAAACTTGCATTTTTAAGCTCCTTCACCATATAATAAAGGTTCATTGTAATAAAAATGTTCATTTATTGGTTAAGAAATGTTTTGCTCGTATAGAGGCAATGTCATAATGCTTTATTCTGGGGGGAGGTTGCTTTGTTTTTGCGTGTTTTTGTTTTGCTTTCTTTTAATTTATTTTATTATTTGATGATAGAATTCCATAGGCTCTGGGATTTCTCTTCCCTCACCCCCACCCCACTGATTTCCATTATATCATTACAATAGTATAGTCCTTCATGAACAATTAGCTGAATGATGGAACTATGTCATTATTCTTTTTAAGAAATTTGGATTTAGAAATCTAACAGAAAGGAACAGCAAATGTAGAGGACTTCAGATAATGCAACTTAGGCAAATACAAAATATTTGTTAGAAGAAAACATTTCCCAATAGGCAACTATCATTACTGATTTTCTCTGTTTTTAAAGTGTCAGCAATAATAATAATAATAATAATAATAATAATAATAATAACCTGTTCAAGTAAGCCAGTGTGCTTTTTTCGATCCAGCTTTTCCTCAGATGTTACATATCTCTCTCTATAAAGTATGATCTACATGTTTGGGCTAACTTTGAAATCATGCATTTCTCAATAATTTATATTTAATGCAACAATAGTGTATCTTTTTTCCAAAAGATTAATTTGATTATTGGAAAGTCAGAATGAGACAGAGAGAGAGAGAGAGAAGGAGGGTATCTTGTATCTTGTGGTTTATTCTCCACAGGGCCACAGCAGTCAGGGTTGGGCCAGGAAGAATCCAGGAACATGGAATTCCATCTACTTCTCCCACATGAATGGCGGAGACCCTAATACCTGGGCCTTCTTGTGCTGCCTTCCCAGCTGCTTTCACCGGGAGCTGGATCAGAAGCTGGGATTTATGCTGGTCTTCTGCTATGGAATGCCAGCATTGCAAGCAGCAACTTGCAGAGACAGAATTGTGTCCCCAGATGAACAAATCTTAGTAACAGAAAGAATAATGCACTGTTCAATTTCTGTAATGAGACTAAATTAGAACATTGCAAATGTGATGTGGAACTAAATATTGCTGACGTCACTACAAGTGTTGTCCACATGCAGTAATGATTAAAGCCGAAGTGATTATTTACTCAATCAAAGTCTCAGGTCCAGGAAAATGAAGGCTCAACTTTGAAAGGTATTGTCTCAGAAAGCTTCAAAGAGAAGGAAATCTTGTGCTGGTAATTGAAAAGCGGCTAGAATTCACCTAAGGGGAAGGTCATGATTATGAATAATCCTTCAAAGAACTCTACCTGAAAGAAATGGCATTTAGTATACCATGCTGCAACTTTCCACTCAGTAAGGAATTGTTGCTTATCTAAAACAACAGGTTTACAAAACAAATTAAATTTCATTTGGCAACCAAAGCATAAAAATGCTGAGGATACTGCAAGAGTATTTGCAGTTCGCACTGTATTGCCTGCCAAGTTTCTCATAACTTGTATCTTACAGCTCATATTGTGAATTATACATTTCAATATGAAAGGAACATAGATTTTAAAATTGAAAGAACACAGTGTCACAAAACATATTTTTATTCTGTGGAAGGTGAGACCACAAATTTATGAGGTCTTGACTGTTAGTAGAAAACTGTGATATTAGTCTTTTTAAAAATCCAAGCAAGGTACAAAATTTAAGTATGTGTAAAATTTCAATAATGAAAATGTGTCTTGTTTAGGCAAACTGATAACCACATATTTATTAACTAGCAGAAAAAATAGCTGATGATAAGGTTATGAAAATGCTATGTTTCAAGTAAATAAGAATACCAATATTTAAAAATTCCTCCAAACAAATAGAGTGCCATATGAGTTTTTTAAAATTTATTTTTACTGGAAAAGAGGATTCACAGAGAAGAAAGAGAAAAAAAGCTGTCTGCTGGTTCACTCCTCGAACAGTTCAGCCAGAGTTGAGCAGTTTTGAGGCCAGGAGCCAGAGATTTCTTCTAGGTTTCCCACAGGGGTTAGAGTCTTACAGTCATCCAGCCATATGCAGGGAGCAAGATGATAAATAGAACAGCCAGGACACAAATTGGCACCCAGATGGGATGCCAAAACACTTGCAGGTGGAGGATGAGCCAATAGAGCCGTTGTATTGGCTCCTGCCATGTGGATATTTTAAAGTTCACATATATTATGGAATCATTCATCAGGCAAAAAAAAAAAATTGATTTGCATTACTTTTTGGGAACAACCTTTTAAAAAATTCAACTTTCAACTATGTTTTTAATTCCCATGCCACATACCTTTTTTAAACATTTTTTGAGTAATGCATACACATTCACCACAGATCAGAGACAAATGATTGCAATACTAATAAAAGAGGACAAGAATCTGTGGTAAATACAAACCAAAATTACGGTACATAATTACATAGCTGATTTCAATTTGAAGCAATTTGAGATATACAGATCTGTGAAGGCTTTGAGTTGGGTACTGTTCCAACTGGTGTCATGTAATTTTGCCTCTAATTTCCATCCCCTGAAATAATGCAGAAGAGCAGAGATCAATGCAGGAACTACCTCAAAGTTCTGCCCTTCCAGAGAGTGCCCTTCATGGTAGCTTGTTTAGGGAAGAGTCCACCTGCAAATACCCGAGTAGCTGGTCCAAGACAATATTTTTCGCCAAGAATAAGGACATTATTTTGTTAAAAGTTTCATTTGTTTATTTGAGAGATATAAACAGGTATTCACGCATTCACATACACACAGAAGGGCGAAACATTCACCCTCTGATTGGTCCCCTGCCAGTCTGCTGGGGCTGTGGAGAGCAGAGGCCTGCAGAGGAGAATGCATTCCCGGTGACCCCATGCATGGTAGGGATCTAACCTGCTGCCTCCAAGGTCTGCATTGGCAGCAAGGTCTGCATCGGCAGTGGACTGTACTCTGGGCATGTGAACATCTGTTTCAATCAGAGTCTTACATGCTGGACTAAACTCTCACCCCTAGTGTAAGGAGTGACTCCAAGCACTGAACCCACCATCTTGGACTCAGTGCCACCTTGAATGCCATTAATGCCTGCATTCTCAGGACTGTCTTAAATCTCTTAGCCCTCAACTCCCTGGAAGCCCACTTTCCTAATCAAGTTTAGTGACGTTGAGGTTTAAACTGTGCACTCCACCAATACCTTGAGGCGTTTATTCCCGGTGTCCTCATACAGCCACCATCTTCCAATGCCTGACCCCTACACTCTATCTCCCTAACATGAGGCCATAAAAATTCTTATAACCCTTTGTTCTCTCTCTCTCTGCTCTGCTCTCACTTTCTCCTTGCCCCATACTACCTCCCTTGAAGAAAAAATGGCCTCTTCTGTGGCTCATTTGCTGTGTCTAGCATCTTGGGATTGTGGAAAAAGCTAACACCTAGGAGAGAGTGTTGGCTAAAATGTTGTCTGGTGAAATGATGCACCATGACCGGGTAGAGAAGTTGAGGCCCTGAGGCCTCCCTTCAGTGATCTAGAGACAAGGCTGGTCCCAGCTTGGCCACAGCTATACGCCAGTTCTCTGTACCTCTTTCATCTTGATTACTGATGAATAGGACAGTGGAAGTTTCTTGGCATGGAGTAAGCCACCATGCAAGTGGTTTTTATATAGCAAATGGAAGAAACAGGGGATTCGATCCAACCAGGCCCTTCCTTGAGAGAGCATCCTCATGTCTGCACTTCCACTGTACTCCCCACCTGAAGCAGCTCTGACAAACACAGTTGATTGCAGCTGGGTGTTTCCTGCTCCAATCAGGGTTTTTCTGAATAATAACAATATTTCAGCTCTCTTGTTCTCTGTACATCTTCTATTCTTTCTTAGAAAGACAGCCAGGAGGCATGCACGTGTGTGCATCGCCTCACTACTGCCATTTTCCAGGTCCTTGTCCAGACCCTGGCACGCTGTAGGGGAGCTCCCTGATTATTTGCTGCTGCTTCTCCCCTCTCTGCTGCACCTCCCACACTCAGCATCAAGGATGCTTCTCCAGCGCTGTCCTCCGTAATGGAGAAAGTGCACTGTTGCACTCTTCCACGTCTCTACTCATTTCCTTCTCTTAAAGAAGTGAATTTCATCTCTGATCCTTTTGTGTTCTTTTATTTTAAAGCCACCCATACATGTTTTGTATCCAATTTATCCTGTAATACTTCCCCATGAGTAACCAACACTTTTTCTTTGTTGCTCCAGTTTCATCTCTCAGTTATTAATGCTATACAACATTGGCTAATATAACGAATAAGATATTGTGAATGCATCTTCACCTGCACCAGCCAAAATATTGTTTTATAGTGTAGATAACATCCCTGGCCCCTTTAAAGGTTTTGTCTATATCTATTTTTCTTTGTTTGCTTTTTTTCCAATTGATAATTCATTAATGTGTGTGTGCACATGTGTGTTTATGTGTGTGTACGTGCATGTGTGTGTGTTTGTGTGTGTGTGTGCTATCATAACAAAAAGCTGCCAGTTTTTAATGCTGGAGCTCTATAATCTTAAAGCGATTCTGTCTTCTCTTTTAGAGAAAACCTCTTCCATAATTAGGGGCTATTTTATACCACACTTGAGTGAATGTTACCTTAGTTTATATCAGAAATGTGATGAAAAAGCCTCCTTGCCATGTGTTAGTTGCTCAAATGTCCCCCAAATGCTTTTTAGGTCTTTGATGCATAACAGGCATGTATTTGCAGGCTTCCAAGGAAGGGCCCATTTCTCATTCTGAGGTTAAAACTGTGTATTTTTTTTTGTGACTATGAGCTCTTACATTGCACTTCTGGGGGAAAATTGGTGCAGAACACAACATACCTTGAAAAATCACTAAGTCTGCTCAATCAAGATCTCTTTGATATTGTACTTGTATCTTCCTCTCCTTAAAATGCCCCTTGGTGTCTCAATGCCGGCCCCTACTCAAGATCACAGTGTGAACAGCAGAGACTTCCCCATGCTAAAATGCAGAGAATCTCTTTCGTGTTACACAAAATACAATTTGTTTGTGCTGAACTATTTTATCCTTTAGCCATGCCCACTCAGCTTAAATTCTAGAATAGATTAATGGGGATGATTCACTGAACACCTGCTGTGTGTCTCCTCTTCAGATGAGGATGGAACACTATCTTTGCTCCTGAAGATGCTTCTGCTTTTGTCTAAAAGAGCATCATAACTCTTCAAAGATAATGACAGACTGGTATCAGTGTGTGAATGTGTGTACTGTAAGGAAGAATGGTGCACTGAAGTTCCCAGCATAAACAAGCCACATAATGGATGATCTTCACAAGTTATAGTATATGAATATTTTCTGATAGGTTCATATATACAAACCAAATTCTAGCTATCCCCATAAACATCTATATACAAAGAGGAAGCCTGGGGATATTTGCCTGGGATATTGTACTATTTAATAGTAAGAATAAATGAGTATGCCTTTCTATTTATTCATTACATGAAGAATGGCTCCCCAATTAGTAAATGAAAATGCCATCTGCATAATAGTCATTGTTCCTTTGAGTTTTGCCGAGTAATAAGGACTGGAAGATTCTCAAATGAATTTTTTTTTATATCTGTGACACTTGGGAGTGCAAGATACACTTGTTTGGGAGAATACTTATCTAAGTAAATATTATACCACCAAAATATTGTGAGCGTAAAAAAAAATCATGTGTTACCTTGGAGATAATGAAGAGTCTGCTTAAATCCATTCAGCAGAAATGCAAGAACCCTCACAGTCTGTTTTTCCAATTTTCAAGGATACATGTAACACAGGCACGTATGTAATGACTGTGTTAACTTAAGTAGTTCACCTACTATCATTCCAATGCAGAGATGAAGCTCAAATGCACATTCATAAGCACATGTGCACATATGCGTATGTGATGTGTGCGATGGTTATATGTGTGCCTGTGTTATGTGTTCACATGTATGTGTGTGCATCTATGTGTGTTCACACATGTATGAAGGTAGAGATCACAGTAATAAAGTAGTGACAATTATTGTGGCTAATAAATAGGTTTGCTTTCAATTCTAACCTTCAGTAACAGAGACAGAACTAAGAGTTGGTGCCATGGAGAAAAGAAGAGAGTGCAGCCTCTTTTTGTAGTGATGGAAATACTCTAAAATTAATGGTTGTAACACCTGCACATTTTCAAATGCTCAAAAGCATAAATGGTTCAATTTAAAAGGTTGAATTTCATGGAGTGTGAAATACATCTCAACAAAACTTTTGACTTTATTGTAAATTTTTAATTCTAACTAGATTGTTATTATCTTTTAAAATGTAGTACACATATCATGTCCTGGTCCTCTAAATCTTCGTCTGAGTTTTCTTGTAAGTTAGCTGTTATCTGATAGGCCAGTTTAATCATGAAGGTTATCTCTTTTTCTCTGCACTACTTGATTAAATATTAAATTTCAGACACATTAGATAAGTTTCCTCAACTCATTAATATCACCATATTTTGTTGTATAAACAGACTGTAAGATCATAACCTATAAACTAAGTATGCTTTTTTTTCTGTTTTGCTTTCTTGCCTCTACCTTTTTTGTCTGAAGACAAAGACAGGGGTTTGTTTGCTGCAGGATGGTCATCAAGAGCCTTTCAAAGTCCGGCTGCACCTAGCCAAAGATATTCTGATGATCCAGGAACAGGATGTGATATGTGTGTCTGGTGAGCCTTTCTATTCCGGTGTAAGTAGCACTTCCTTCTGTTCAAGTATTTGGTTTTAATCCTTTTTTCACAAACAGGCTTATTTACAGAAAATGCTCAGTGTATATTTCAGAAAATAGTCAATGGTCCTGCCTGCTACTTTTATTCACAGTATGATCTCTGTAGCAATGTCCCTGCAGAGGTGCTTGGCCTGGGTCCACACACGTTCCTTAGATCCCAGCTTCTAGTAGGTTTCTGTTGATCCCTCACTGTCCTGCAGTGATGGGATGATGATAAGAAAGCATATCCTACCATTGCAATTGAGATTCAATGAGAGTCATACAGGGTGGTATTCCAAGCCTTACTGTCATCCTGCATGAACCTGAACTACAGGAAATGTTACTGTGGTGGAGCTCATCTTAGAGTCACAGATGCAGGGGTTTGCAGGTCAACATCATTGCACTGAAAAGGCTTTTCCCTAGATTTTAGTGGAGGGAAAAGTAAAGCTCCTTCATGAAATAGAAATAGAACAAGCATAGTGTCCATTCCAGGGCTCTGATGTGATGCACATTCCTGAAAGTCCACCCTCACAGAGAGTCATAAATGACCATGCAGAACTGCTGAATATGCCTAAGTGTGTGTGTAGAAGACGTATTTAGAGGAGATTCTTTGTAATTCTACAAAAAGAATTTCATCATAAAACATGATAATTCCTTGATTTTATCATTTTGTAGTATCTCAAAAGTTAGCACCATTATTGTTGCCATATGTAATATCATAAGAAAATCATAGAAATTAACCAACAATCTGCTCCTTGGCTTCCCCAGATGTCTGCAGCTTTTAAAACCTGGTAATCTAATTTATGCCTTATTAACAGACTTACATGGGAGGGTTTTGTTGATAGTATATAGTGCTGAATTTGAATTTTCATCTCGGTTCTCGATAACATCCCCTGGGAGTCACACAAGGTCCCGAATCAATAGGCCTTGGCTAACTAAAGATAATGGACATTTTGCAGACGGTTAACTATTCTTTTGTCACAGACCATTTAAATCATCCTGAATCATGAGCCTGGATGTCAAGGCTGATTAAACTGTTCCCATGCAGTTGTCCTTTTTTCACTTTGCCTAATAGGAGAATAGCAGCGTATAAGTTGATTTCTACTTTTTTTATGGATGACACTTGATTCATAACTCTGTAAAATAAATATATTACACATGTATAATTAATATATATAATTAATATAATATATATTTAATATATATACTCAACAAATATAATTTAACAAATGCTGTATTGTAAGGCTAAAATAAGTCTATTACTTATAGATTTTACATTCAAAACATGTAATAAACAGAGGCAATTTTGAAAAATTCAATGAAATAGAGTTAAAAGCTAATTCTATTTGGTATGCAAAATTTTGAAATGTGTTTGAAAGTACACAAAATGTTCATGGAAAAGCATTTTATGCTAAAAGGATATGTATGTCAGTTAAAATTAGCATCTTTACCTGTTTTTCAATGAACTTTATGAAGTGCCACACAGACTTTCTCTTGCTTTGGAAGATAATTGTATATATATCTAAGGCTCACAAAGTTGGGAAGCCCATTGAAACAATTAACAAATCATTTTTGATACTAATAGATTCCAACAACATTTAGAAGATTTTAATACCTATTCAAGAAAAAAATCTTCATCAAATATATGAATAACATTTGTTTGACAACAGACATGAACAATCCTCTCTCACATTATAACCAAAATGGAACATTTATTTGAGGTTTAAAGGAAGCCAGTGATCTTCACGGGCCTCACTTCTTCCAAGTAGTGTGCTTTTTGAAACAAATGAAGCATTGTTTGAGGGTGAAGGAAAACCAGACACAGAGCTCCCATATACAGTTTCATTCTCAAAAAGGTTCCAGTAGTTAGTTCTGGTCCTGCCAAACCTGCAATATGGGAACTCAGTCCAGGTCTGTGTGTCAGGGACGTGACCACCATCTAAAGTCATCACTTGCTGCTTCAAATGGGACATATTAAAAAGAGGCTGGAGGTGCCTGGCATGATGGCTCAATGGCTGAATCTTCCCTCTTGCAAGTGTCAGAATCCCATATCGACACCAGGTCATGTCTAGTCTGCTCCACTTCTCATCTGGCTCCCTGTTTCTGGCCTAGCAAATCAGTGTGAAGGATGGGCCAAAGCCTTAGGACCCTGCACCTGTATGGTAGACCCAGAAAAAGATGCTGGTTCCTGGTATCAGATAGGCTCAGCTCCAGCCATTGGTCATTTGGGAATAAACCGGTGGATGGAAGATATTTGTCTCTCCTTCTCCACATAAATCCACTCTGCCTTTCTGATGAAAATAAATGTTTGAAGAGAGCGCGAAAAAAAGAGGAAGGAAACAAGGAAAAAAGGAAAGGAAGCAAAGATGGAAAGAAGGAAGGAAGGGAGGGAAGGAGAAAGAATCTGGGACTGGGAACACCGTGGGATTTTGATTCCACGCATTCTGATTCAGAATTTGGACATCTTACCTGGAATCTTGTTAGCTCAATCACTTACCCTCTGCAAATTCCAGCAGTTACAGCAATGAGAACATTGATATGACAGTATTGCAATTATAATTGAAGAGCTAAATTTATTTTGTTTGTAGATATAGTGATGTTATACATAGGAAATTGTACAAAATTTTTGAAAGTAGAGCAACATGGCAACTTAGAAAGGTTTCTGGGGACAAAGGTGATATCTGAAGTTAATTGTGTTTCTGTAACAAGCAACAAGTAATGACAGTTAAGTAAAGATGCAATTCAAAACAAACTAAATATTTTAGAAATAAATTAGACAAAACATATATTAGGCTTCTACCCTAAAAACCAAAACTGTGGTGAGAGAAGTAAAAAAACAAATGAGCAAATTGAGAAAAATAACATATAATGATTAAAGAATAAATATTGAAAAATTGTCACATCTATTTAAAATGTATAGGAGAGCACAAAGTAAAAAAATAACTACAAAGTTTAAACAATCTTTAATAGGAGAATAATGTTTAATTGTTTATATTTCTTGATTTCAAAACTTCCCAGAAGATTCCAGTAAGAGACACAGTGTAACATGGTCATAACTCAAGAAAACATTGTAAATGAATAATTCCAAATCAAACCCACAGTTGTGTGGTCAAATAAATTACAAATGGAACAATGAGAATTGACATTTAAAATATTTTAAGCACATGGATCATTTGTATCAAGTACATTAGAATAGATGTAAAAAATCTGCACTATCCGTTTGCAGAAATATCACTTTCCTGCACTAAAACTTGATACTCCATAAATGGTATCTGCCCGTGGCCTTCCTCTACTTGCTCCCAGTAACTGCTAATATACTCCGTTTCTTTGCAGCTACATTAGATAGCTCATTTTAATTAATATGTATATCATATTTGACCTCAATGCCTGACTTCTTCCACTTAGCAAAACTAGATGGCTCAGTCATAGTAAAGCATGTAACTTAATTCCGTGACTTTTTAAGGCTGAGTAATATTCCCTGATGTATGTATAAGATATTATACACTCACCCAAAAACGTTAAGTCATCGCCATGCATGTTGATTATGAAAGATGCTGCCTTTACCATTGGTGTAGCTGTATTTTAGTTCCTGCACTCAATAATTTTTCATATATAAACAAAAGTAGAATTGCTAGAAAAATGCTATCACTTGCTCAGCTTTTGACGACCCACTATACTACTGTCAGATTTGCTTTAACATCTTCTATTTCAACAAGAAATACCTACAAATTCAAATTTTCCCACATACAGGTTAACTTGATTGTTTTCCATGTTTTTGGTAACAGCTGTTGAACTTGATATTAATGTGAATTTTTATTCCCTAAAATTTAGTAATAGAAACATTATTTAACATGGTTATCTATTCATTTCTATATCTTCTCTGAAAAAAAATTTGTTTTGTATATCCTTGTCTGAATTAAGTTGTTTGCTTTTTAGTGTTGAGTTCTTCATCCACGTGCATAGTTACCTCTTATCAGATATTTGATTTTCAGATATTTCTCCCAAAATGTGGTTTGTTTTGGTTACTCTGTTGATAGCCTTTGATGCACAGAAGTTTTTAATTTTGAATAAACTCAGTTTTTCTTTTGTTGGGTATATTTTTCTGCCATGTCCAACATCATTGCAAATTCCAATATCGTGAATCATTTCCCATGTTTCATCCTAAGAGTTAGGGATTTTAGTGTTTACTTGTACATTTTCAATGCATCATCAGTTACTTTCTATTGATGATATTAGATAATGTTCAAACCTTAATCTTTACATCTGTATGTCCAGCTTCCTGACACTCTTGCCAAAACCATTTACTGCTATGAAAGATGATAGTCCTGAATCATCTGTTCTAGCTCATTGGTCTGTATGTATTTTTGCTAAGCCATTAACAGAACACTTTTTTTCTTTTTCTCCTCTAATGTAGTTTTTCAGGAAATTTTGAAATCAGAATGTATGTGCATTTTTTTTTCCAAGATCACTCTGGCTGGTATTCCTAGAGTTACCATTTGAGTTTCAAAATAATTCTTTCTACTTTGCAAAATTATCCTTGAGAATATGAAACATGCAGAATATCATAACTTTCCTATTCTCCATCAATTAGACATAATTGCTATTCATATTTTTCAGCATCTTTCCATTAGCCAAAGAGTGCTAACACTTATACTTGTGGTCTGCTCAGCTTAGTCTATAACAAAGCACGTGGGCACTGAAATTCAAAGGCAGCAGTTGGACAAGCCCTCGGCTAGAAAGTTAGTGATTGATTGTTGCTGACACGAGAAGCATAAATGGTAGAAGAGACACAGAACATGGCATCAATCTACTAACCAAGATGGGGCGGATGGGTGGGCAGTGCAGTGAGGCTGAAGGCACTAGAATAAGTAGCTTGAATCTTCAAGTCAAGCAAAATGTTAGAATTTGAATACTATGTCTTAGTAGTCTGGCCAGCCACCACACATCCAGGCTATGTAATCTTATTAGCACCTTGCTCTGAA